ACCATCGGAACTCCACCCCCACAACTCCCAATCGGTGATGGGGCAGTTGTGGAGAGAGTGGAGAGTTTCCCATACCTGGGCAGTGTGCTTATGACCGGCTCCAGTTTAACAGCAGAGGTCTCACTCAGAATCAGTCGAGCGGCAATATCTTTTCATCGGTTGCGTAACGTTGTGTGGAAGCTACCTGGCCTGTCGCTCCGCACTAAGCTTTAGGTCTTCTCGGCCACGGTCATTCCCTCCATTCTCTACGCTTGCGAAACGTGGACCCTCCTAATGGAACATCTTCGCCGGTTAGAAACATTTAGGCTAGCCTGCCCACGATCCATCCTGGGTTTAGCCAGGCTGGATTGTGTGAGGAGCTCACAAATCTTTGAAAAATCTGGGAAAGGTCCCATCGGTGAGCTCCTCCGGCAGGCAAGGCTGCGTTGGCTGGGTCATGTAGCTCGCATGCCCAGCCACCGCATGCCGAAACAGCTTTTGTTCAGCCGGATCGAGGGGGCTAAACGGGCGCGGCACGGGCTAGAGAAGAGATGGAGTGATGTGGTACAGGAGGACGTGGAGCTGAGTGGACTTGCCGATGACTGGTACCAGCGGTGTCAAGATCGGCCCCTGTGGAGGAGGCTCGTGAAGGACGCTAATGGGCAGTTGGAGGCAGTCGACCTCCAACAACAACGGAGGGGGAAGGAGCGACGCTCACAACAATGAGCGGAGCGCCGGGTGGCTAAACCACAGCAGGTTGGCACAGTAGGGGGCACAGGTGGTGCATCAGCCAGTCATCTCGGTCAGTCTGCCCCAGGACCTCCTGCCAGCGGGCGTTCGACACTTCACGTGGCCTCAAGGTGCACATGGCCTGGCACAAGCGTCGTGGTGACGTCACCGCCACTTAGTGGCGAATGGCGGTTGTTGTTAGCAGTTATTTGCGACTTAACACAGCCACTGTCGTGCTCCGATGTGGCTGTGGTGCTTTTCGAGCTTTTTCCCATCTTTTACATGCAGTCCTCGATGTGACGGCGTGCTGCGAGCTTACATTGACATGCCAATCACATTTACACAGTACATTTACATGCACATTTCTCACTTTAACATCACTCGCCCCCCCCCCCCCCCCACTTCGTTTATGACTCTGGGGCTACGGCCATCTCTAACTTTTAAAAGCAGCCTGCATCAGCAGCTTCCCTCATCTTCCGCCTGATGAAGATTGCGTTGCGATCGAAACGTCGTGATCTATTATGTTTTCTACCTACGTGACTTTACCGAAAGAACCAAAGAGTATAAAATAAATGTAGTTTAGTATAGTTTTTAAAAAAATTCTAACGCAATTCGCTCTGAACTGATGTCTGATTCGTGAGGAGCCCGAGTATTGCAACGGAGACCTGCAAACAACAAACAGCTACTTACTAAGGGGTCTGGCAAAAAGGGAAGTAGCGGTGGCTAAGTGCAGCGAGTTGCATCGATGGCGTTCGATTTGCCCCCTCAGCTTCTGTCTGAAAAATAACTTTGAAAAAGTAAAACCGCTCTTCGATCTCCCGAGAAATATTGACCCCCTCTTCCCTTCCGCCTCCCCACCCACGTGTCAGTGTATAAATACTGTTTTTTTGGGTTAGATCGCGTACAGATATAAATGTGTCGTTCAACCCGGCACCACCCGACAGCCAATTAGTAAGGTTTGTCATGTGAACAGAACATGCCAATTCGTTATAAGTACAGCACACCGGTGTGTTGGAGAACAAAGCCACAACATTTACAATGTGTCACTGTCCTGATGCGAAACTCCCTTCCCGTGGGCGTCGAGGAGGTGCCATACCCTGGCTCGCCAGGAGAATGTGGTACAGCGAGTGGACTCATCACCATCTGTATGGGGATAGAGCGTTGCTCCCCATCGCTCTCCTGGCTTTTCTCTGGGTGTGCCGGTTTCCTCCGACTTATATAATAAACACTCGTTGTTTATTGGCTAAAAACATCTTTAAAATAAAAAACCCCAAAGTATCAGGACACTTCCTGAACGAGAGTCATTGAACTCGGTATGGCTCTCCTGGATAAATAAGAAACTATTAAACATTATTACCGAAAATACTACTACTAATGGGACTGCGTTCTGGCACTGTTAATATAATATCATTAACTACCAATACATGATTATGAACTTTTTTTTATATATATAATGTATAGTAATGTAATAAATACAGTCACATTTCGGCATTTTGTAACTACCGAATTGTATTGTACTGTGGGCAGTGTTCACCCATTCCACGTGGGACTGTGCATTCTGGCACTATTAACACGTCCTGTTCTACGTGGCTGTGTTTAACTCGCCACCGAACACGCTCGTTACCGTTATATGAACCACAATGCCTTTGGTTGATCTCGTCAAGGACCATAAACCATCATGCAAACTCCGGTCATCTTCGCAGCAGATTTTGGCTAACCATTCAACAAAGATAGTCACTGCATCGCGTGCTTGCAGATGCGCTTCTGCGGCCATCTGTCAACGCTCATCCGATATGAGGAAGCCACTGCAGCTATGCGGCTTACTTTTTGGTGCGTCTTACTTTCTGGTGCGTCTTACTTTCTGGTGCGTCTTACTTTCTGGTGCGTCTTACTTTCTGGTGCGTCTTACTTTCTGGAGCGTCTTACTTTCTGGAGCGTCTTACTTTCTGGTGCGTCTTACTTTCTGGTGCGTCTTACTTTCTAGTGCGTCTTACTTTCTGGAGCGTCTTACTTTCTGGTGCGTCTTACTTTCTGGTGCGTCTTACTTTCTGGTGCGTCTTACTTTCTGTTGCGTCTTACTTTCTGGTGCGTCTTACTTTCAGGTGCATTTTATTTTCTGGAGCGTCTTGCTTTCTGGTGCGTCTTACTTTCTGGTGCGTCTTTCTTTCTGGTGCGTCTTACTTTCTGGAGCGTCTTACTTTCTGGAGCGTCTTTTATTAAGATTCCTACCGCTGAACCAAAATTCAAATATCTCCTGTACGAACGCGATGCTTCACTCAGAGAGGGACGAATTAAGATTCTGAAGATGTGGATATATATAATCAATGTAATAAATGCAGCCTTTAAATCTCATTGAACTGAAACAATTATTTTCTCTGGGGGGGAGGAGGGGGGGAGGTTGGTGGCTGCGTAACACCAGAGCTCATGTCGGGTTTTTACAAAGCAGTGCAACCACGATTGCAGCAGCCTCTGACCTTGGTGGGCAATTACTGATGGGTCAGGCCAGGAATGATCGTCAGGACGAGAGATGATGCATTCTTGCAAAGGTCAAGGTCCACCTGCGAGGCTGCTGAGCGGTAGAAACTGGCGGCTTGCAATGCTAAGATTTGCGAGCTAAAATCCTGCTTGGGTGGTTGACTCAGCCCATCATTCCACCAGGGCCGCTAAAATAGATACCCGCTTTGGGAGAAAGTGAACAGTGGTTGTCCTAGAAGAGAGCACCAATTTACTTGCCCTGCCATAGTAATGTGGAATTTACAACACTGACTCAGGGGGGGCTGTTAACGGTAGGTGAGAGAACTTCCTCGTCGATGCGCGTTTGAGCAGGAATTCACTCTGGCAAGGTCGACGCACACTTCCTGCCTTTGCCACTAGGTGTCTGTACAACACTTCAGCTGGCACGCTTGATGGACGAGTAATTTTTTTTCTTAACCTGATCCTCTCTCATTCAGAATCTTTATCTAGGCTGGTTGGAATCCGATGAGCTATACAGCTCTTTTTTTAATGATATCCAGTAGGGCTGGGTCAGCAAGTTACAACAACAAACAATACAATAAGAGTGAAAAATAGAGAAAAGGTAAGGAAGTACTATAAATACATACAATTTACAATCGTGCATGTTGAAATTATTTCTCACCGTGCGTAGCCAACCGTGCTAATCGGAGGTGGCCAAGGCAGCAACAACAACAACAGCAGCAACAAATAAACAGTCTCAGATCACACAAAGAAGACGACACGCATTCCCTCAATTAAATCGCAATTTCTTATTTTTAATCGAACTATCGACACGACATGATTTCCCACCATCAAGGTGCAGGAGCTCGCCTCCTCTCAAACGCACACGGGGTGGGGGGGGGTTCCCGTCGCTTGAGCCGGGCACTGCGCTCGATTACAATCGCAGCACCCCAAGCAGGGCCCCCTGCCTGGGCAGTGGCTTGTTGCACTGTCACGCACCCCTCTGAGGCCCCCCAGTCCAGTCCCGGGGGGGGGGGGGGGGGCGGGCGGCCGGGATGGGCAACGAATCAAGAGTCCTGCTCTGGCTGCTGGGTAATGGGATTTGTAAATTTGTTTCGCGGAATTGGTCGCGAAAGTGTTCGTCACTCATGTGTTTTGTCGTTTTATAGTCGACTATGACGGTGAGAATAATTACGACGGAGTGGCAGCCGAGGGAGGGAACTCGCCGGGGAGTCCTTCCTGCAAGGAGCTGGAGCGATGAGAGCACTCCCACGTGCAGGTGCCGAGGTGAATTGTTACTTTGCAGGATCGTGAGGCAGTGGCTTGGGGAGGAACTTCATCCAGCAGTGGATCGGCCATGGCTTACGATGACTTTGAGGATGATGATGGCTTTGTGCAAGGCGATGACTGACTACGCACCAGAGACTTGGGGCATGACTGACCATGACTGGACAAAACTAACGAGGCTGGATGAAGACTCCGACTGAGATAATTTCGTTATTGTAGGCTGCGAGTGCACTCAGGAAGACTCGACAAGGTAATTGACTTTTCTTGGATGTGACAAGATTTAACTCGCCAATTGGCTGACCTGACAAGAGTCACGGAGTAGAAACCACAGACCCATCACCCGCCCCCCCCAATATTGCATAACTAAATATAGTTGACTGAATTTTGATTTAAAGCTTTCGTGACTGCAGGGATTCATATTCTTGGTTATTTCGGTAAAGTCACATAGAAGGGAAACAATAAAATAATAAAAATATAAAACAATAAAATTCTCACAACGTTTCGACTGCAACACAAGCAATCATCATCAGGTGTGAAAACCACTTTTTTTAATTTTCTTGCCAAGAATATATAATAGTTGACTGCTTTAAGTCAACGAAACCAACAGAATGAGCGGATGAAATCCAGAGACGGGGACTTGGCTGATATTCCGCAGGTTGTCATCGACCATTCACCGACTGGTTATTCACAACGCCAGCTAAATTGCCACCAGCTGAGTGAGCGGGTGCTGATGGACTTTGCCAGCTCGGCTCTAGGTTCAGCCCTGGGCTGATCTGAGCTGTGATTTGGATTCCCACCTGTCCTGGTCTTTTTTTGTTCAGGCATCGTTCTCTTGTTGAGGAGATGGCTGCTGTCCTGGGTAATCTGTGAGTCTTCCCAGGGCATTAACGGTGCCGTTTTTGTTGTTGTCAGTTGCCTAATGATTGCACCTCTTCCGGTGTTCCGGAGATATTCATCTTCTCATGGTTACGTATCGGTTTATTTGTACATCGTACCTGGCAACAATTGCTTTGTGGCAGAGAAGCCCTGATGCTGTGCAGCTGCGGTGGACTCCCGAGAGGTCTTGGCTGTATGACATGTCACATTTGGGCCAGAGCAATCGGAAATATGGACCTGCCAACACGATAACTGCACGCAGCCTTCACAGGATCTGGAAGAGAGGGGGGTTGAGAGGAGAGAGAGAGACAAATGCCTCAGACTTCAGAAGTTGGTACACAAACAAGACTCATTAAATCTGGCTCTGCACTTAATTTGGCTCAATTCCATCTCTGTGAATTATAATCGTTGATTTGACCGTCACGCTATGGGCACTTACTGCCAGGAGCAGGGTCTGGTTGGAAAAAAGTGCTGCCCCCCCTCTCCCCCCCCCCCACTATTGTGTGGACCAGAGGTCACTTGAAGGGATCTCGGATGTAGCTCCGTGATATCCGCTTATGTGGGGCCGAGAGCCACGCTGGTCTGCTCTGCGAGAGTTTTGAATTGATTAGTCTCCTGATGTTAACGTCGATAGCGCAATCGCGATAAACATTGCGGGGGGGGAGGTAACATACAATATAAGACTGGCCTGCGCGTGCAATTTTGCGCGATGAATCACAGCTGTACAATTTGGTGCACATTGACCGCTATCTTTTGTTGTAAGCAAACTCCCAAATCCCCCCCCTCCGCCGTCCCCCGTCCACAACCTCGCAATGACTTTCACGTTACCCTCGCATTGCACAGCCGCAGAACAGAATTGAAGAATACATTTCTCGGTAATTCATTTTATTGTTCGCATGGTTTTTAGATTGTGCAGGAACGGTGTCTATAAAATGTAGCCGATTTAGGTTGTGTGGGTAAAGGCACTTGCCAAGGAATGTGTGGCGATGAATAGGCTCGAATTCCAGCACGCCACGCTGCCTGTCGCATCACCCATGATTGTCGTGGACTAGAGAATGGAAAGTGGTGAGAGATGACAAGAGGTCAGTTAATGCCACCTGTCCGTACGTGTAATTGTTTTTTGTGTTCCGTATTTTAACGCACAGGTTTTAGTGACGATGCCGTGGTGTGATAGTTCACCGGGACTGGCAATCCAGAGTTTATTGGCTCGATGCGATCTCCTGCCTCTGTTCCCCTCGCGGTATTGATGGGTTGGCCGCAGTTGTTCGAATGATCACGATGATGATGATGATATAGGTCACGGTGCGATCGGACAATGAAATAATCCTGTGTATAGGTGGATTGTGAGAAACAGCTTTTGTTTGGCCGGATTGAGGGGGCTAAGCGGGCGCGGCACGGGCTAGAGAAGAGATGGAGTGATGTGGTACAGGAGGACGTGGAGCTGAGTGGACTTGCCGATGACTGGTACCAGCGGTGTCAAGATCGGCCTCTGTGGAGGAGGCTCGTGAAGGATGCTACTGGGCAGTTGGAGGCAGTCGCCCTCCAACAACAACGGAGGGCGGAGGAGCGACGCTCACAACAGCGAGCGGAGCGCCGGGTGGCTAAAGCACAGCAGGTTGGCACAGTAGGGGGCACAGGTGGTGCATCAGCCAGTCATCTCAGTCAGTCGACCCGTGGCACCTGGGTCTGCCCCGTGACCTCCTGCCAGCGGGCGTTCGACACTTCACGTGGCCTCAGGGTGCACATAGCCTGGCACAAGCGTCGTGGTGACGTCACCGCCACTTAGTGGCGAATGGCGGTTGTTGTTGTTGTTGTTGTGAGAGGTGGAAGTGGCTTGGGGAGGCCTTCATCCAGCAGTGGATTGATAATGATAATAACGAATTCTCCGGGCCCTCCGGTTTTTCCCTCTACATTTAGAGTATTTGGCTACGATACATTTCCACTTGATAGCTCCAACAGAGTTGGAGCTATCAAATTGCGATCTGGTTGCATCTGAAAAAAAGCTCTCCAGGGCTCAGTGGGCCTTACCTGGTAAAATAGAAATAGTTTATCGTTCAGTTTAGAGTTCAAAGTCGAGATCGTGCTCTGGGAGAGGCCTGTGGATCCTGCTACTGCCGCTGAGTGGTACTGGGCTGGGAAGGGGGATATCGTGTCGGATTCCAGGCACTTGATTGTGAACGCCAGCGGTGCAAACAGAGCCATTACCACGGCGGCCGGAGCGCCGTCATCATGATTTTCCTGTCTGCGCTGTGTTTTACGGCCACCCGGCGTCTGTCCATTTGCGTGGGATGCTGGAAATTGAAACTGATCAAATTGGGCAAATTGAAAATCTGCGTCGCGTTTCCCCCCCCCCCCCCTTGCATAACGCGCATTGCGCACAGAGCCAGAACCACACGGGCTCTGTTCACGCGTCGTAACGGAGCGCGTTGATGGTTTGTGTTTTCAAAACTGAAATTGTATTTGTGACTCAACAGGACTTTGTAAAAAAAAAAAAATCGCACTTTCATCCAGTTTACCTTCCGTGCATTTGCGTCGCGCGCCACCATTCCCACTGTTTATCGGAATTCACAGCGGATTTCGTTGCCCTAGAAGAGCTGGGGCTCCGTGGCGGTCGCGTTCCGACGACGGCGGTGATGACGCTTCCGGCTCTTTGATGTCGTTGCGCCCGTGCCTCCTGTGGAAAAAAATAAAGCAGATGGAAGAGCGTTGGGCATTTAGCCGAACAACAGGAGAGCGCACATACATATCGACTTTGAAATTGGTTGTTTTAAAAACAAACAAAAACACATCGCCATGTGTTTTTTGTGTGTACGTCTTGCTCAACAGATGTGTAACAAATAAAAATGTCAACAATATTTCGGTCAGGAAAACATAATCTCAACAACAGCTCTCTTAGGAAAACAAGCAAAGTCACCAATTAGACTTGGAAACCCGTCGGCAGCATTCCCGAGTCGTTGCGTTCATCCTCAGCGTTGCAGTTTACAGATGCTGCTCGTTGGCTGCAGGAGTGCCCTGGTGTTTGTGCAGGCCTCGCCCTGTGGGAATGAAAACGAGAACAAACAGGGCTCTCCTGATTGCACGGGAACGTTGTCAGTGCTTCCTAGGGACGCTCAGTCGGGCTGATTCGTCTCTCAGTGGACGAGAGGCTGGGATGGTGTCCGAAACGTTTTGAGCATTTTTATATCCAAACTAAAGTCTTTATTTTACCAGTTAAGGCCCACTGAGCTGTATAGCTCTTTTTGAAAAAAATGACTTTGTCACAACGATAGCTCAACAAAGAGGCTTATCATATGGGGATTTATAGCAGCCAATTACTCGAAACGTGTGTTTCTAAATACGGAGGGGAAAAAAACCAGAGGACCCGGGGAAAAATCCACGCGACCATTTGGAGAACACGCAGACTCCAAATATGCAGCTTTAGGGTTGGAATCGAACCTACACCCTCCTGTATACCAGGCGAGGAAGTTAGCATCTCGCCACCATGGTGCTAAATTGTCAGTTGTCCGCGTGCATCACTGCCAGCCAGCGTGGTATCACACACTCTGTCTTTTGTTTCTTCTCCAAGGGAGACCGAGGATTGAGAGAGCGATATTTCTCCTAAATAAATGTTTTGAAAGCCTCGTCCATTCAGAAAAAAAATCCCATTTGTATGCGTGCACTCATACGTCTTTAGGGTATAATACAGGCAGTATTTAAAAGCCTTCTGGCCTTTGATATCCTGCAAAGTATATCTTCCTGTTAATGGCTGTCTCTTGCTATTTCTGGGCCCCATCGATTCACGCTGCAATTCACTCAGTGAGGCATTAGAATTTTCATTACGTTAGCGGTGCTGTGATGTGACTTGCGAAGTGCACGGGGGCAACGCGACTCGGTGTGCATCCTTCTCACCCTCTCGCTTTCTCTCGTCATGGCGAGCATCTCCCACCGGCCGACACACTCGCACCTACCTACCTCTCCCCTCTCGTCTCACTCCAGTCCCCTCCACACACTCTCCTGCCTCTTCCCTCCACACAATCTCATTATTCCACTCCTCTACACACTCCTGCCTCTCCCCTTTCATCTCACTCCACTCCCACTACACACACTCCTGCCTCTCCCCTTTCATCTCACTCCACTCCCACTACACACACTCCTGCCTCTCCCCTTTCATCTCACTCCACTCCCACTACACACACTCCTGCCTCTCCCCTTTCATCTCACTCCACTCCCACTACACACACACTCCTGCCTCTCCCCTTTCATCTCACTCCACTCCTCTCCACACTCCTGCCTCTCCCCTTTCATCTCACTCCACTCCTCTCCACACTCCTGCCTCTCCCCTTTCATCTCACTCCACTCCTCTCCACACTCCTGCCTCTCCCCTTTCATCTCACTCCACTCCTCTCCACACTCCTGCCTCTCCCCTTTCATTTCACTCCACTCCCACTACACACTCCTGCCTCTCCCCTTTCATTTCACTCCACTCCCACTATACACTCTCCTGCCTCTCTCCTCTAATCTCACTCCACTCCTCTCCACACTCCTGCCTCTCCCCTCTCATCTCACTCCACTCCCCTCCACACACTTTCCTGCCTCTCCCCTTTCATCTCACTCCACTCCCCATACACACTAACACTCTCTACTGCCTCTTCCCTCCCTTCTAGCTGTTGGGTCTGCTCTCCCTGTCAAGAGGCTGGCTCTTCGAATTTGTCCCCTTCTTTGTCGAGTGAGTGAGCGGGCGTGACTGGGGCAGTGGGTCGTGTTAAGTGGCTCATGATACCACTGAGAAGGAATTTTGCTTTTTGATGGAGCAGCCCTCCTCTTTATGCAGTGGTGTCTAGGCGATAAGCGGCTCGCATCTCGTCTAATCTAAACACATTCCAAAGGGTACCCACCAGTGGCAGCTGTCGCTGTGGGGCACAAGGTGACTCAGTATGTATATTTTAAACTTATTTCGCACCGAACGTAACCAACCGTGCTAATCGGAGGTATGGGGCGGGGGAAAGACGACAAACGAAACACAGCAAAAAGTAAACGGACATTCGTCTCAATTCTTGATTTGAAGCTCTCGTGACTGCAGGAATCCATACTCTTTGGTTCTTTCGGTAACGTCACGTAGGTAGGAAATTAATAGATCACGACGTTTCGATCGCAACACAAGCTGTGTCAGCAGTTCTCCTGCTGTGTTCGTCTCACCTGGTGACGGTTGCCTGTGTTGCGATCGAAACGTCATGCTCTATTAATTTTCTATCTACGTGACTTTACCGAAAGAACCAAAGAGTATGGACATTCGTCTGCCAGTTGGGGGGGGGGGGGGGCGATGTTTTCTGCTCGTGTGTACAGTGGTCCCTCGTTTATCGCGGGGGATACGTTCTAAAAATAACCCGCAATAGGCGAAATCCGCGAAGTAATCAGCTTTATTTTTTTACAATTATTATACATGTATTAAGGCCGTAAAACCCCTAACCACACACTTTTATACACTTTTCTCAGACAGGCATTAACATTTTCTCACATTTCTCTCTTATTTAAACACTCTCAAAGTTCAAACTTTCGCAGATTTAAAAAAATAAGTACAATATTAGTAAATGAAACCAAAAATCGAAGCCTGTTTTCAAGCCCAAGCATTTTTGTAAATCTGGCTAGCCGAACGCATTCTGTACTCCCTTAGCTAATCAGGACGCAGAAAACATGTGCGGTTCTCCCTTAGCCAATCAGGACGCCGAACACAATGCGCGTTCATACTGTACGCAGGAAAAAAAAGCATGCACAATTACACTAACAAAAAATCCGCGAAACAGCGAGGCCGCGAAAGGTGAACCGCGTTATAGTGAGGGACAACTGTAATGCCAATTGAGTAATTCGCAGATGATTATGCACATTCGGACTATGACGGTGGCAACACATTGGCCGACCTATTGGGAATGACGTGGGGGGAACTTGCCACGTCCAGCTGTGTGAGGCAGACGGCGCGCTAAGTGTTTTTACGGTTTACCTCGCCCCGCCGTATTAACCAGGGCGTGCGCCAGGGTTCGAACCACAGCAACAAAAAAAAAACCTCGCTTTCCGTTGGGCCACGAGTTCAGCTGCGCTCGGCTCGATCAGCTGGGTCGCCGCTGCTCTCTGTCCGGCTGTGCCACCCTCAAACTCCACGCTGCTCGCATCTCCACGCAGGCGGTGCCATCGCCGTTATTCCGCGTACGGACGGCAGCCACTGCGTGGTCCCCCGTAGGCTGGACCGCCGTGGGGCGCCGAAATAGTCGAGACGAGATGGGGGGAGGCAAGGCAAATCCTCATCCTTGTGAGAACAGACCCAGACAGAAGCCACCGAAGAAGAGCGTCTCCTTTTTCGCATGCAGGATAATTTAATTCACTCCCTAACGATGTCGTTAATTGCAGCTCTGCGGTGTTCTTCCTCACCTGCGGTTTGCAAGCGCGTGTCCCCTCGGAGGACGACAAGACGGATGCAAGGGTGGCGAAGGTAACATTCTTAATTATTCCACTGCCCCAGCGTACAACGATCCCTATCAATGCGTCGATTTATCAGTGACTCTGAATCGTCATCGTAATCAATCACGGTCAATCCTTTGTTGGATGAAGGCTTCCCCAAGCCATAGCCATCGTCCATAATCCCACAATGCGGCCCAGCACTTGCGCACGAGTCGCGTCCCATTCCATGGCTGCCATTCTGTCACTATCCTTCACCTGGCCATCAACCCTTCTAAGTGACGTGTATACGCAGGGGCTTCATTTGAGACAGGTTTCTCCAGGTCCGGCGATCTAGAAAATATTCCCCGCATCTGACACGCAGTAACCAGTATACGTCTCACTATTGCTTTGTCTACAGCCAGTCACGTGACACCGACTCCAGCCTACCAGCGACCCGCAAAATATTCAATGAGGAATTTGGGCCCCAATTGCACGGAATGTATTTGCGGTTGATACGGAGAGATCGGGTGATTGCAGATGAAGCTATATTGGAGAAAAATAACGGTAATATCAGTTGCAATCCACGTGGCCTTTAGTTAGTAGTTAAGCGATGCATTCGTTTTTTTCCATGCAAATCGCCCCACAGTGTATACCACGTGCATAAAAGCGCTAATGTGCGACGTTAGGACCGTTATTGGGAGTCTTCATTTAGAGATTTTGGCCATCCGCCGTTGATTGTGGTGAGGTGAGTGTGGTGAGGTGAGGGCGATGAGTCATTGAGCGACCGGGGGAGGGGGAGACCTGGGGCGCCTTCTGACTCCAGTCAGAAGCCAAATTCAGAGCAAATTTTTTATTAACATGATGTATGTATGTTGTATGTATGGTGAACTTCGAAATTATTCAAACTAAACTATTATTTGACCAGGTAAGGCCCCACTAAACTATATAGCTCTTACAAATGATAGCTCAACAAAGTGACTTATATTTTGATTTAAAGCTTTCGTGACTGCATGGATTCATATTCTTGGTTCTTTCGGTAAAGTCACGTAGAAGGGAAACAAAATAATTGAACAATACAATTCTCACGACGTTTTGACTGCAACATAAGCAGTCATCATCAGGTGTGAAAACCACAGCAAGAAAATTTGAAAAAGTGGCGGTTATATTTAACGTTAGCACCACGGAGAGCGATTTGACAGTTATGTTAATAGTTATAGCAGCCAAACAGTGTACACGCGTGATGTTGATTCTAAATGTTGAGATATAAACCGGAGGTCCCCGAGAAAAATCCACACGACCACAGGGAGAGAGACATGCAAACTCCAAATATACTGGCGTCAGAGTTGGGATTGAACTCACGACCTGTATACCAGGCGAGGTAGTTAACATCTCACCACCGTGGCGATTACGGTTTGAAAGAACCGTACGTAGCCAACCATCCTGTAGTTTTGTGTGTAGTTAATAGTGACTGGGGGCTGGGATCACCGACTCGCTGTGCTTTAATCACAGGCGGCTGAAACACAAATATTAATTCTGGATCTCAGCCGTTCTGGCTCCAGCGCCCGAGCGTTTAAACCGCTTGGCCACCGATC